AATTTATTTATGAATATATATAATCGATTTAAATAATTTTTAAATATTAAATAGAAAATATAAATTTTGCAAATATATTTTTTATAAAAATATATTTATTTATGTTATTTATATCTTATTTTTATGATGTATTTTTTTGAAATTCGATAATTTGGTAGTTGGAACGAATTATAGGAGTGTAATATTTGTTATTTATAATGGTTTTATATATTATAATTTGATGATTTATTTTTTAATGTTAGTAATTTAAGGAATGAATTTAAGATGAAAATGTAATGATTATTATGGTATTTTAAATATAAAGAAATTATATTAGGTGATTTTAATATTAATGATACGATTAGAAAACCGGGAATAACATTTTAATTCGGTTGCACAAAATGAATTTATAAAATTTGATTTAATTGCAAATAGCAAATAAATTAGTTTTTTAAGGTCGAGGAATGCATAGATAAACGAATTAACAAGAGGTTATTAATCTATTAAATTTTGTAATGATGTTTTTTGCGGTTGATGGCTTTGCAATAGGACTAGGGTAAATATCGATTTTTGGTCTTTAATGGGATGTAGGAGGCCTTTTTTTTATCTTGTCGCAAGTTTGCCTTTAAACTTATTATTGAAAAATTGAATATGTAGCCATCTAGAAAATTTAGTAATATCTTGTTGCTGAGTGGCTCCATGGTTTAAGAGCTAAGGTCTTAAAATATCACCATTTACAACCTGAAACAGAAAAAGGGTTTAATGGTTGTTGCTCGCATGGGCTAATTGGGGCTGCCCGGTTGTATACATTAAGAGGGTGGTGCGGAACACTATAATATATGTTTTAATTGGCGCCGGGTGCGGGGATTCGCCTAGATTTCTTCTTCATCACTTCGGTTCCACCCGTCAACGAAGACCTTTCGTGTGGTTTTGATGGGACGCTCCCCATCTTCCGGGAGCGGTGCCATGATCCCCAAATGTCAGTGTTGAATCTATTACATTCTAAGCAGGCCAAAATTCAGAACACTTAGGATGTAGCACAAATTGCCTGGGCGCAACTAGGCTTGATTGGCTAAGGCACGAATTAGCATCGTAATTTCTGAACTATGGCATTGGCTAAGCGGTTGCACTGGAATCCCGTAGGCCGATGTCGCATGGCCACTAATTGCATCAAATTATTATTACTTAATTGAAGGATTAACTTGTGCAGTTCTGCACTCTCCTAATTGCGCATTGACAAGTCCAGGCGTTAGGGAATCGTGGTCTGGTGGTCGTCTAGCATCTTGGGTATGGAATTTGTGAATGAGTTCGGTTTGCAAAATGAATTGCAAAATTCGTTGCAATATTTCGTGTAATTGCGTTGAATTCAATGGATTTTGTTTCGTAGGCTTGAAGCATCTGGCATTGTGATCTTAAGCAAGAGTTCAAATGGTTGTGTCCTCAATCTTTGTGTCAAACCGTTGTCTGGTGCGTCGAATTTGAATTCTTGGTCTCCATAGGGTAGAGTCCGAGGAGGTGGAGGATTTGTTGAGCGAGCTGGACCATGTCTCCGATCCAATGGTCCTGAGTCTTCCGTTCTCGGGCATTTGTCAAAATATTTCCCAAAAATGGCCATCAGATCCTGAAAGCTTTGTTCGTCGATCTGCATGCTCTCGGACATGATGATGGGTCAATCGAAGGTCCAGGCGTGTGTCTTGGGCCAATGTACATTCAATATGGTGAAGGATATGTGCAAGGAGTTCCAATTATGACCACTTCGTCGGTTTTATGTAGTCCGTCAGGTCAAAATTATCCGAAAGCCAGGCCCAAGCAATCGGCAGCTACGTGCAAAGGTGCTGCACCAGATGGCAAATTCCTTGCACATCAAGGTATGGCTTAGGCAATGCAGGTCAGTGAAATGATGAATATCCTGCAAATCGGAGCGGACAAATGCAACATTCCAAGATCGTTTCTGAACAGGCATCACAGGAAAATGGTCAGGGTGTATAGTTTGGCCTGCCATGATGATGAGTTGGAATTAAATTCAAAAAAAAAATGAGATTCCACCTTTTAACGGTCCTGCAGTCAATGATGGCTCCAAGGTTGGCCGTTTTGCTCACCATGGGCAGGCGAAAAAATGAATCCGGAATGAATATCTGCGGACCTGTGGGTGTCCGCAAAAACCTCATTTTGGTAAATTTGGTCATTGCTCGATCAACAGCTCTGGCAGGCATCCATGGCTGACCATGGGCATCTCTGGCAGGCATCAATGACTTAGGATATAATTTATGAATGCGACGGAACCAATCAAAAGTTTGATTCCGCAGGGCCAAGTCCGCCCCTTCTTGCAAAAATTCCTCAAGTCGAATCTGCTTGTCAACCCTGGAAAATCGAGGCTAGGGAGCGATCTCTTAGTGTTCGCACTGCCTTGCGGGCCTGCCACATTTGAGTGGAGAGCGAAGTCCAGGC